GAAATTAATTGTTATACAAAGTCTTAAACGAAGAAAAACAGCAAACAAACAAAAACCAAAAATTAATAATGGGAAACTTCAAAAAGACTGGATCATGAAATAATAGGAGTTTAAATTGTAAAGAACAAGAAATAGCCCAAGAATTTGTAAAAACTAAGTTGAACTACTAGCAGTAACCGAAGCAAAGAAAAAAGACACTGAGAAAGAGTTATAAGATCACCAAAACACAAGAAAGGAAACGTTAAAAATTGTAGCAATTAACGAGGGATAACTTTGTTAAGGTCTTTTTTTGAACATCAAACTCAAAAAAACTACGGAAGCAACACTACTGAAGTCACAAAGTGGTTTTATTTTTGGAAGAAACATCAACAGGAAGCAGTGTACTTAGCATTTATTGACCTAGAAAAGGCCTTCGATTGAGTACCTACGGAACAAATGTGGAATAGCATGAAGAAAGAAGATGTAATAATTAATGTCATTAAAAGCCTTGATAAAACAACCATTAATTATGTGTAAAGAAAAACCTAAAATTGGAGCAATCTCCGACTATAGAAGGACTAGACAGGGTGGAGGATTAAGCCGTGCATGGTTTAATTTATTTATAGACACTATTTCGTGCGAATGCAGTAACAAAAAAAAAGTAATGATATAATACTCACAGCGACATCGGAGCGGAATCTAAGAGACAGTCTGATACTCTGGAACCAAGAAATGACAAAGAACGGAATGAAAATAAACAGAACTAAAATCAAAATAATGGTCGCAAGAAAAGAAGGAAAACAAAGTATAAAATCGGCATATAAAATGACAAAACAGAGAAAGTAGACAATTTTAAATATTTGGGAGTAGTGATAAATAATAAGGATGATCAAGATCCAGAAATCAACTCAAGAATTGAAAGTGTGCTTAAACAGAACTATATTACGCTATGAATAGAAGCTTTGTTAACGAAAAAGAAATATCACAAGAAACGAAAGTCAATGTTTTTAACGCCATATCCAGACCAGTACTAACATATGGATGTGAAACATTATTGTCAAAAAAAAAAAAACTACAAACAACTGAAATGGAATATCTGGAGGATGAGGAGAGTAACACGTATGAACAAGATCAGGAACATAAAAATAAAAGAAGACCTTGAAAAATAACTCGTTCTAGAATACATAGAGCAATATCAACTGAGCTGGTCTAAACGTCTACAAAGAAGCAATTCAACAAGAAAAATCAAACCCAAAAGAACATGGAACAATGAGCTGAGAAGAATCTTGGAAATCAGAAACACGAGTTCGAACCAGGCAAAAGTAAAAAAAAAAAGAAAAAATTTTTGAAATTTGCTTATTCATGTATACCTACATATTTAAATACAGGGTTGCTAGAATGTATGAGAACGGTTAAATATCTTGAGAACCAATTGTACAAATCGACTGAGATTAAAACAGGGATACGGGAAGTTGTGCTCTAATTATTCGTTCAAAAAATTTTTTTGCTTCATTTGTTTGCAAGGTGCAGGGTCATTTGATTTCTTTTTAATAGCACTACCACATAATTAGTGAATTTTTGAGTAGAGCTTTTTATAGTATAGTTATAATTTTAATTAATAATATGTTTTAAACAGTAACAACCGAAACCAAATTAAACTTCTCTTTTCTACAAAAGATGCTCAAAATGCTTGTCATTTACTTCCTGGCAGTAAAAAATACACTGAATAAAATTTTGTAGTGTGTTAAAGAGAATTTCTGGACGAATGCTAGAAATTTCGTTACGTATGCGTTCCTGTAAATTTTCAATGTGAATCGGTCTATTAATATAAAAAATAGCCCCACAAAAAAAATGTCAAGCGGTGTCAAATCCGGTGACCTAACAGGCCACTCAATGGTACCCGTCCGGCCTATACATGTGCCAGGAAAAGTTTCATTCAAGTACTGTCGCAACAGCTTTAAGTATCATCAGAATTTAAATTCCCATTTATGAAAAAAGGACCATTTATATGGTAAGCAATAATACCGCACCACACATTTAGTTTCTCTGGACTCTGTGTGTGCATTTGCTTCATCCAGTATGGATTTGCGTCAGACCAGTACCTGCAGTTGTGAATGTTCACATGACCATCTAAACAAAACGCAGATTCGTCAGAAAAGGAAATCCTGTTGATAAATATAATAATAATAATGATAATAATAACTTTATTATCCAACAAACTATATAATTACAATAAATAAAACATTTTGAAATTAGAAAAGTAAAATAACAAAATAAAAAAATAAAAAAGTGGTGCAGTGATTTCTGGAAAAAAATTAATTAACAAATAAACAAATAAATTGATCAAGTAGGCACTATTGGTAACAATCAGCAAACACAATATTCTTGCAACTTACATTAAATGACGAAAGATTAGGGTTAAATAAATCAAACGAGTCAAATGACGTACCGTAAGTATTAAAAAGTGTACAACATCTTAAAATAGGTGAATTTTTATAAAAATTGCTCTAAAAGTTACGACAACGAAAAGTGATACAATGTCGTGAAGATATGCGAGGTACATTTATATTTAACTGTGACAATAGTGACATGTAATCAACAAAACCATGGAACAATTTATAGATAAATAAGACATCTTTGAAGTTACACCTACTAATGAGAGATGTAAGCTTGGTCGTGCGCAAAAGATCAAATTGCGGAAATCCTTGAGTTGGGTAAGAACCAAATTTAACGAAATAGAGATATTTACAAAATCGCCTTTGAACACGTTCAAGTTTATCGATACGAACGGCATAACAAGGATTCCAAACTTCCGAACAGTAGGTACTCTAATTTATTCCGAACCAAAGATGCGGAATAAAAGAAAGTGATGAGTCGAGTATTATACCTAGGTCGCGTATTTCAGTGTATCTGTTAAGTACTACATTGTCGATGGAGTAATCAAATAATATTGTGCTAAGCTTATGATAGAAACTGATTGTGTAGCATTTGCTTTTATTTACCATAAATCTATTTTGTACACACCAGGCAACGATTCTGTTTAAAGTATTTTGTAGAATAATGCATAATTCCATTAATGAATATATCGAAAAGTAAAGGACCTCGATTAGATCCCTGTGTAACACCAGATGAAGCGACGTACAGACAAGATCGAAAACCACAATATTCCACAAACTGATGCCTACCACGTAACATAGAGTCAAATAATTTTAATAAATTAGGACTAAAACCGAACTTATCCAAACAATGTATGAGAACACGGTGATCAACTTTGTCGAACGCTTTACTCATATCCGTATAAATGACGTCAATCTGCAATTTTTTTATCAAGACAACCAGATAGGTATTGAGTGTAGTCACAAAGATTGGTGCAAGTCGACCTACCTTTTATGAAGGCGTGTTGGTTAACATTTAATTGAACAATAACATGGTTGTAGATTTTATCAATCAAGACGCACTCGAATATTTTTGAAAAGTTCGGGATAAGCGCTCTTGGACGAGAGTTATCAATTTGTGTTTGACCTGACCTGACCTGACCCGACTTGAAAACGGGACAGATTTTGGAAATTTTTCAAAGATTCGGAAATGTGCAAGTCTTGATAATTAAATTAAAGATATAATATAATGGAACTTCAATTTAAAAATTTACTTTAGTAAATACTAAATTGAATACTAAAATTTCCATCTTATTCATACCCATTTCGGTAAATTCAACTCCAGGATCAAAATCATCTTCGTTTAGCTCTTGTACCAAATGGATTTTGTATGGGTGAAACTTTTCCTCTTTCATTATTGTGTGAATTTATTTTCTACTAACATTGTGATTCAGTGCTAATTGTTGCACTAACGTTTTCAGATTTTCTGTTGCGTGTAAGAGGACATTAAGGGCATTTTCATCATTTCTAGCAGTTTTTGAAACCTTCGTAATTACTAGGTCGTAAATATAATTAAAAAATAACTATTGTAATTATTAAAAAAGGCAAAAATATATAGGACAATGGATTGAGTTGCATTTGACATTTTTTATAAACTTCGCTCAATTTGAAGTATCTAATATTTGTGAGATTCTTCCCTTGACTAACTTCTGAGGTCAATGCCATTTTTTCTGACGACATTAACATATAACATTAGTATCACGAAATTTTTTTATCTGAATTTAATGATAACACATACATAAGAATGTTCTTTTTTACTGTTTTTGTCGAATAAAAATATATGTCTTGATTATCATTTTAAGTTACGTAGACCTGTTTGTCTTACCGGATTATAAACAATCTAATTGGTGTTACCATGAGGGAAATTCAATTTGTCACACGCAAAATGAACTTGAAATTGCTGATTAAATCGATAAATTTCATCCATGAGTGAAGACAACTATTAATTATGCTTTTAGTTAATTAATTTTTTCAACCAATTAATGTTAAACAAAAACGACTCTTATTTTATAACAAGTATTTAAAGGAATCGCTATTTACTTTGTGACATTTTTTATGGAAAAAACACCTCGACATACATATGATGGTAACGAAAATAAAACTTTTAGGCTAAATTTTTAAGGGCGTTATGTATTTTTCTTAATTTCAAGAGAATTGACTAACTGTGTAAACCCAACGCTTACATCAGTGTTAACTAATTTTCGTTACTCAAGCAGCAACGGAACACGACATTTAAAATTGAGCTTCATTTTTCGTCCCCAGAAAAATTAATTAGCAAGTTAAAAAAATAACAACAACCCCGACGACCTCACGCACCAGTTGATTAATTTGCCTGATATTTCGTGCAACTCTTTGAACAAGCAAACTTACCATTTAAATTACTTTAACAAGAACACGAAATTATCAGGCACTGTAGAACTGATTTGAAGTTGGCACCCTACTGCAACTTCAACGTCTCATCGCCTGCTGCTAATGAATCAAACTAGAGCATGCATATAATGACGCTAATTGGGTCATATTGAAACTTATCGAGTTAATTATACTTCAGACTCTTCTTGGAACTTAGCATTTCCATTTTTGTTCCAGATACATAGCCGTGACACAGCCGATAAAATACGCCAAACACAAGAACAACCGACGTGTGTGGTTGACGATCGCATTGGTGTGGATGATATCGGCCGCCATAGGATCTCCAATCGTCTTAGGCTTGAATAATACGCCTGATCGTGTCGCAGATGCGTGCCTATTCTACAATAGCGATTTTATCATTTACTCGAGCCTTTCCTCTTTCTACATCCCTTGTATCATCATGGTGTTCCTTTATTATAATATATTTAAGGTAAGAATATCAGGTTTTTGCCAACTGGGTTTTCTTTCGACCAAACAAGACACTCTCCAGTTCTATCGGGGATTCCATTGTAAGGAAACCCCCTTTCTCTAAATGCAAATCCCCAATTTACTTCTATTCATATGCAAAATTTCATCCAATTAAAATCACTTGCTTGCCAGTGCCGGATTCAGATTGAGTCTATTTAGTTTCACTTCTGCATTCGTTTGCAAATAACGCAAGTTTGTATCTCTCTTTCTCTTCCAAAGTGAAACCTAAATTTTCTCAGTCCTACTAAAAAAATTGTCTTTCCTTCAAAAAATGTATTTATTTTATACACAGTAATGATAACATGAAGTATACATTCATAAATTTGTATTTGATACAAAGTAAAAAATTCGGTTACATACCGTACCGGGTTTATCGTACAATATTTTTAATAAATAAGTACAAGTGTGATTTATTATTTTTACACGATACAGCAAGCACGCACAAAATTTATAAAGTTCATTCAACACAGGTTAGAGTCAATTAAGAAACTGAAAGAGGTATGTTGCTATTAGTTCTAACAAGATGATGTCTTATCACTCTTATCCATTAAAGATTGCTAATTCAGAGTAATCTACTCAAACTAAACAAAACATTGTTATCTAGTTAAGCAAATTATGCAAGACCTGAAAAGCAGATTTCATTAAAATCTGCAAATCCATCAGGTGGGCAAGATACATAGGCAAAGTAATGAAAGACGTGACGAGATCAGAGGCAAATGTCTTTTGATAAAAGGTAAAAATCTCAGAGGCGCGGTATTCCATAAAGGAATAAATATTCAACATGATGCAATAAATCCCTTAAATTTAAATGTAGTAAATAATAATTATTGCGTCACTCCGATTTAGCACAATTTAAAACAACGTTTCGCTTTAATAATAATTAAATTAGTTTTATTTTACAAACTGTTTCGTGCTACGGATGTTCTAAATGTTCTTCACAATAAAAATTATTTTAATGGATCCCTTTAGCGCCTCGGTTCAATATATTAGCATTTCTAAAGCCATTTGCTACAATTATACTGGATTCTACAGTTAAAATAATCGCGGAAAATGCAAGAGCAAAGACATCTGTGCAAATATAGTAGCACACTTTTAGTTCTGAAATAATCAATATTCGCCAATTAAATTTTCATGGATTTATTCCCATAACCCCCTGGCGCCACAATATAACGTGGAAAGTGTGCAAAGAGAATCATCGAGTCTTATAACGGGTGATCAAAAAATTTTCAGATTAGAGTTGGCCATGGAAATATTTGTCATGTCTTTGATTAAACTTTGAAAGTCATGCATAACCTTAACCTTACCTTTAAAAAACGTTATGCATGGAAATATTTTATGGCCAACTCTAATCTGAAAACTTTTTGATCACTCTTAAGTGGTTAATACACCCGGCAAAAGTGGGCAACGTGGGTTCGAGTTCCACTGAAGTAGTGACATTTTTCTGCGCTTTCCACAATCCCATAACCCCTTTAAGAGTGTGGCTTTAATAAGTCGCGTAAAATATTTATTATGATAACACTTAATACACTAGTCCCACCAGATTTACAAAGAAAAATATAGCGAAGTTGTGTATATTAATTTCAAATAAAACTTGGTTTACAAAATCTTGGGCCACAATTTTTAATCTCAATTAAAAATTCATTTGAAAACTTTTTTGACTTAGCTTTATATAGCTATATAGGGTGATTTCGAAATATATGCAATAATTGTAACCACGGCATCACAACAAAGTCGAATGGGGCAAAACCCACATGCACCACCCTCGAGGTCAGTACGAAAGATTATTAGTTGTGGAAACAAATGGTGGTCCTGAGAAGGACCGATTTTTAGTAAAGCTTTATGGTGGTCGACTTTTTATTCTGACGGATGTTTCGTCCTTACCACAACGATTTCACATTGTTTATTAGAACAAAAACAAGAGCAACTTAGAATACTCCTACCTTTTTACAATAAATGTTGAAAATATTTGCACGGATACGTAAAAAAACTCCGGGAGTTCCACGAACTGTAGCCGCTGCCAATTCCACTCTTTACTGAAGCTCTTCGATAATATCTGAATACTGTTGATTTCCAACCCCACAGACAAAAATCACACGGATTGAGATCGGATGAACGCGGATGTCAAGCTAACGAGGTACTGTGTCGTGGTTAGTCTGTTTGGCAAAACATAAAGTCCAAGTAAGTTGTCATTTACGATACCGTCCCACACATTTATGGAAAACTGTCGTTGAACTGGTACTCGTTGACGAGTTTGTGGACTTTCACCGCCCCAAATATGAGTGTTTTGGCTGTTGAAAACAGCATTGCGAGTGAATCCTGCTTCATCCGTAAACAGAACGCAATTTAAAAACTTAGGATGTTCATGACATTGCTCTAACAACCATTCGCAGTAAATTACACAACGTGGAAAATTACCGGACTTAAAAGCTTGCACTTTTTGGAGGTGGTATGGATGTAGACCTTGTTCTTTTAATGTACGATGCACTACAAACTGTGAAGCTCGAACTTCAGCTGCAAGTTGGGCTTTTCTTCGACGCGTTCCAAAATTTGTTATTCAGCTTGCAGTATTTTTTCGGTTCTATCGAGGCCACGATCGTGAGTTTAAGTCTTAAAGGTACCATCTCGGAGATTCTGGACCACTGATGTAAATGACGCGCACACGGTATCGCGCAATTTAGAAAACGGTCGATCCACAATTCGCGGACCAACCTATCGTTTCCGTCAGCCACACCATAAACCATTACCATGTCGACACGCTCTGAATTGGAAAAATTCACTATTGTGAAAGACGTTAACCGAACCTTGCGGCAACCAACTTGACACTTGACTTCCGCTTATCGCGTTTTTCCATGTTGCTTATCAGTGTGTCGCTTTTTACTTCCCGAGCATAAGCGAAGGAGGTATTGTAATCGAGTCTATCGGACGCCACTTTTATGTTTTCTCGACGTTTCATGACCCCTACAATACGAAAACAACCGCTCCCGCTTCCATCTGTCTGTCTGTCTGTATCCATTATTATTAGACACGTAATCTCCGAAACTGCTGGACCGATTGTTGTCAAATTTTGTATGTACCTTGTAGCTAAGCGAATTTTCGCGGGCCGGAAACCGTGACGCGTACCGCGAGAGCCGGGGGTAAATTCGCGATCGCCGCGCCGCCGCAGCGAAAGAAGAGGATTCGGGCCTGAAACTTCAGGGTGTCAGGAAGTGCTGTGGCTGTTTTCTGTATGAAGAAGAGTTTTTTTGAGAAGTGTGCAGTTTGATCCTCCGACCACCGTAAGTACTTTTTAGGGCGCCTGCCTGTTTTGTACAGGTTTTCGAATCGCCGCCCCCGAGCGAGAAACCGTGTCGCCGTCACCGCGCTCCCCTCCCAGGTCGCCGTGCCGTCTTCGCGCGATTTCCAGGTCTCAAGGTCGCCGCCCCCAGAGCCAGGAGGAGGCCGTCCTGAGGGAAGTCGCCGCCCAAGAGGAACGACCGTGCCGGACGTACTATTACTTTTCTTGTTTGCTTTTGTTTTGTAATTATTATTTAATTAAGACTTAGCCGTAAGATTTATTATTTTAGACCGTGTAGCTGGTGGCAGGGAATAAACCCTATTTATTGTTACAAAATATCCTTGCCGTTTTATTTATTATTCTCGTGTTTTCGCGGAGGCTCACCATCTGAATTCTGTGTCTCCGGCTTTAGAGCTCCCCGGCGCTTCCTCCCCCGGAGAGGGAGCTGGCTCCCGAGCGACCGCCGCTTCTGACCGAAGGCGCCAACCCCGGCGGCGTGAAGGTCGCCGCATAAGCTTGGTCCACCAGACGTGTTTCTCATATCAGCGATACTAGTCGACCCAAAGCTTGGCACTCAAGTACGCCGTCACCCCATACGTTATCGGCGAGATTCCGGACCGTCACCGGACCGTCCGTCCCATCCGGAATTTCCTCGCAACCTTAGAAATATCATGTAGAAGGTTAAATACTGACCAAAATTTGGCCAATCATCGCCACCAACAATTTTATGACGTCATTTCATTGAGTGGTATTCTAAAATGATTTTAACGTTACACAAAAATATTCTCATGTTCACATTTTCGCAAAAACATTTGCAAGGTATAATAACGTTTTATTCCCAACACGGTTTGTACGTCTCCGTAGCGCAGTGGGTATATCAGAGATAATTTTTTTATTGGTCAAATTAAGAACAAGTAACCCCGTTTTCTCGAAAATGTGAAAAATACACACGTATTTATATAATAATGATAAAATAAGAATTATAATATTCAGAACATTTTGTTCGATTGTGGTTTAATTAATAATTTTAGTCTTCTTTTGAGAAGACAAACTCATTCAAATCAAAATATCTTCTGCGTGACATTCTTTCGATGTATAAACATAAATACACTTGAGCTTCAAATTGCTGGTTTTTACTTTGCAGCGGTTATCACAAAACGAAAATCGTTAAACCAAATTTGTGTGCAGCAAATATAGTTGCTGCTTGAAATTTTTTAACCACATTGACTTATACTCTGAAAAGTTAATGTCAGCTCCGTGGCCTAAAATTTGATACTTATTTATCACTGTTTTTATAACAGATTCATCATAAAATTACTGTAGAAATATATAAATAACAAATGATAGGTGTCTGTGCAAATGCTGTTAATTGGCATGTGTCAATTATTGCCCGTTTTCCCGTGCTGATTTTTTTTTAATTTTGTGGTCATTATTGGTCGATCTATGCTGGTATTTTGAGTTGCATAATTTTTATGAAATTATAACGAAGCTATAGGTATTTTGGACTGAAATTGTATGTAAATTTTGCACGCATTGGAATTTGCGTTGCGTTTACTTGGAATTTAGGTGCCCACAACGTGAAAATGTCAGCTCCGTGGAGTCAATGGAGCTGACATTTTTTTACAATACGGTACATTGATTTTATAAAAAAAAAACGTTTTTATGATCTGTAATCATTGTCCTAGATCTAAGGATCTTTAAAACTACCTGAATATAAAATTGAGTTTTTAATTTTAAAATATTTGGCTTAATCCTAGTAAGACAGACAGACGGAAACGAGATGCCTATTTTTCGTACTCTAATGGTCATGAAAGTCGAATGTCCCGATTGCAATACTCCCTTAGCTTACGTTCCGGAAAAAAAACTGATATATAAAATATATAATCATAATTAATTCTACTAAAACAAATAAAATTGACATTTTTTCAAATGGTATTTTTTACATTTCAGCTGTTGGAACAGTCAAATAAAATATCTCCGCAGTCAACACATTTGTATGTAAAACCGCAAGGTAGATTCTCTCAAGTTGCCTCACAGTTCTCAGTTCGTCTTAATATCTGTTTAGCAATCTAGGGCGACAAACATCAGACGAACTTTCACTCTTCATCCTTTTTTACACACATTCATTAAAGTAAACAGAAATACCGATGTCTGCAATGTTAATCCAATTTATTTAACAGCTTATGGTAACTAAAGAATGGTTTTTAACAACTAATGAAAATTTATGGCAATTCAGTTTTACGACATAGTGGAACCTAACTCAGGTTCCTTTAGATATAACCTTTCGTTAACTTCGTAGGTGCTGATAAACATTTTAACCGGATTATCCCAACACTTGTGGAAAAACATCAACAATGCAAACAAGTTTTGTCTAAATGTGGGTTTTAAACTTATGCTAAGATACTAAGGAGCATAATAATAATTTGCATATGAAAACAACTTATAAAAATCTACAGAGCCAAACTCTAAAAAATAAATATATAAAAGATAATAATTTACAGTACCTATTTACAGTGTAAATAGAATTTATGATACGATCCAGTTTAGTAAACAAATACTTTTTTCTCATATTTATCAATACAAAGGATTGATTTACTGTAAATGACTATGTTAAATGGATATTAACTGTAATTAATTAAAATTGATAGATAATAATGAGTCAGTACATAATTCAGTGTAGAATTAAAATGCTTAAAACATAATTCTTTTGTGCTCTAGCTTTGTAATTCTGATCAACTGATTAAATTATCAAGGTACGCAGTTTTTAATTTACCAAATTCTTCGAGAAAAAGGGAGACAACAGATTTAAAATTCACAAACGTCAGCTTATCACAATAAATCGGTTTTACTTTTAATAAAATAAATAATATTTAACAGTTTCACTAACACAAATTAATAGTTCCTCATCCATAATTAATAACTAAAGTACAAAACTTACTTCGATTTCTGATTTTAACGCTTGCACAGTTATAGGTTACATATATCGTTCACTATTCTGCGTATCAATAATAATCATTAACTTAAAAGAGTGATAGCAACAGTAATGTCAATATGTTAAAAGGGAACCAAATCAAATACAAACGTTTACCAAATTTCATGCAAATATCACAAATTTGTAAGTTTACACAATCGATGGTTTACGGTTTACCTATTTGTTACACATCGCACACATACAGTGATGTGCAATAATTAATGAGCTTCTAAATGGAAAATGTACCGGGTATCTCACCACAAAGTGAACAAATCAACTAAACCAACATCATTTTGCATAATATGGTAAATATACACATGACAATAACTCTTAAATTCAGTTACAATTACGAGAAATGCAAATTTATGAATGTACACTATGTGCAGAGTTAGTCACAGTTAATTAAGCTGCAAAAATTTTAAAAGAGCATTTACGTTACATTAATTAAAACAAGATACTTTATACATTTATAACATCAACTTTTCTGGCCTCAACAGCAATCAGCACAACAAACATTAAGACGTATTGTGAAATATAGATTTCTGTAATAATTTTTGGAGGGACGTCATCAAACTTTTGCCAATGATAAGTCATTAATTTCGATATGTACATTGTAACACAAATTTACTATTTTGCCCGAATTTTGTAGTCTTTAATGAAACAATAATGAAAAATCTGTTCAGACATTGTTTCTTTGAGACAACATAGTTTAATTACTTTAGTGTCTAAATTACTTCCAGCATTTTGATAACGACCATGTCATCCTGTACACCTTAACTGAAACTTACCAACATTTCGAATGAAATCATTAAATTTCTGGAGGAACGAATAGACAGATTTTAATTAGCGTTTTACTATCTTTCCATTTACTTTAAAGAGAACTTAAAGTTTCAAAATGACCAGTTCGGTAGTTCAGGCAATTAACTGTTTAGCAGAGGTAAAAGATCAATGTGCAGTTGGCTGGAAATCAGACAAAATCAAGTCTTTCAGTAGAATGGATTTTAATTTAAATTCGCTAAAAAAAACAACGTAACATCAGAAACAAAATAGAAACTAGATGCTCCTGAAAACATTTCCCTATGTTGGAAATTGCTTCCTCGTTTTATATTTTTCGACTTTGAGTGTTACCTGTTGTACAGTATATTTCTGGCTATATATAGTTTTCTTACAAGATTACTCAAATCACAAATTTAGGGTAATCCTGTCAGATTTAATATGATCCACCTAATCCTCTGGCTGCTGATTTCTCATTGTGGACCAGTCTTATGTTATAAATAGCTTATGTAAATTTCCTGGATCTGGGTTCACAATTCCATCGTAATAGCATAATTTTTCATACGAAAATTAATATCTTCATCCTCACCAAAAAGTTAACGACATCATTTTGAAAAGTTATTAAATAATTCTTTTGAGAAATACGCCCTGACATGAATGCGACATATGGATACTGTATATAAATAAGAAAATTTTATTCAAATTCCGCCATATTTCTACCCCTATTCTTTGTTCCGTTTGTCAGTTAGATTTCGTTTTTCGTTCCCACAGCATATAAAAAATTTACTAGATGATTCTAATTTCTATTTTTGGTCTTCTCTATTTTGTGTTCGTTTTATAGGCGTTAAGGAACCGGGCGATCCAGGCACGTCTAAACCGCAAACCGCTGCCTGCCGAAATCAAGCCCGGATCTGTGATAGAGAACGTGGCAAATACAAGAAGGTTGGCCGAAACGACCCTCGGTCCATCTACCATCGAAGAACAAGCGACAAACACAGGCTCTGGTTCAGGGGACGAAGACGAGGATGTTGCAGAGGCCGACTGTCACGTCATATCAAACGACAAGAGTACTGAATTCATTTTAGCAACCGTAGTCGAAGAAGCCGCGTAAGTCTTTCTCTTTTACTTTCATCAGATTCGACATGAACCCCAAATACTTTATTAAATTAATTTGTAAGGAGCACTCTTATTTTGACGTGGGGACGACGCAAAAGGAGATTTATTGAATTAATCGACAGGTTTCTGGCGGTCTTTTTAGAAACACCGAAAGATTTTGCATTTAAGTATTCTAAATAATAAGATGAGTGGTTACTTACAAATGGGGCTTTACTGTGGTTTTTTGTGAACTGAGTTAAAAAGATTGAAAAGAAAAGTATTCACTGAGGAATACATTTTTTTGCTGCATTTAAAACACCGACTGACATTAATAAGTAAATCTGTAAGAGTAAATTTTAAATTCTTTTTAACTTATTCAAATTCCCACAAGATACAAAAAATATGTTTACAAATGCTTTTATTATAAAGGAATATTTTTATATTTCAAAATCGGTTAATAATGTGACACTTTCAAACGTTTTTGCATTTTTCGGCACCTGCTGAATTATTTGTGCTATAAATGGAAATCAGCGTTTTAAATTAGGACATTTTTATTTGCTTATTTAAGAGCTACTTAAAACGGTTGTGAATAAAATAATATACAGACCTCGGAGAAAGTTTCATTCCTTTCTCGAGAAGTAGGTCACCAAGGAGCGAAGCCCAGAATTAATTTAGTATTAATTTGATGTACAACAATTATTCGGATGATCACTAGAAAAAGCTAATTTTTTGTGTTGTTTACATAGCTATGAAAGTCACACAATTTTGATCCACTCTATTAAAAAATTGGAGTGTCAGTTTTTCAATGCACTTGCTATATTCTCATCTAAAGGGACACTACACCAAAATAGAGGTTTGGCACAATTTTGAAACACGGTAATTAACTTGAAGATTTTCTGACAAAAAATTTTTATAAATATTTCTATAAGGATTTAAAAAACTGTTTTTTAAACCCAACGGCAGCTTTATACTTTCCGAGTACCTACTACTTCCCCCAAATCAACCATTTTTTAATTACCCCAACCACCTCAAACTCTTCAATTAAAAATAATTTCATGTCATTTGGTCTCAAAGCTTTTTAAAAGTCACAAATACATACATACACCTACAGAGTATTACAGATCAAACTCTGCGGCTTTATATTTTGAAAACGAATAAAAATATTGAAATTATGTAAACGCCATTGTTTTTAACTTGAGAGGGGCTGAATGTAATACGTACATTGTAAATATAATGGATCAACGTCGACAAATTTTTTTAAGTTGGCACGTTTACAATAACTGAGGATATGGGGCCCTATGGTATTGTAAACAGATATTGTTTACGTTTATTATTGCTAAGATTATTTTCAGCTTTGCCGGTAACATTGGCGTTTTGAAAAAATTATGTTTTTGCATTTTTGATGACGCTACCAAGAAAAACAAAGCTAATGGAAAAAATGTGGAACGTTATTTTGACAGAACTTCCCTCGCCCTTGAAGTATAGTCCGACAAATTCCGCTTCTTTAAAAAATTATAAAATTAGTTTTTGCGATTTTCGTTTTGTGATAACTGTTAACCTCTATAAAGTGGCGTAATTAATCTCGCCGCAGCCCCTGCGTCTTTAAGTGTGAAATATATTTAAAACAGATAACTAACAGGAACAATTGTACATTTTCAATTTCTCAGTAGGTACATACTTAACTTCTACTGTTTATGTTTATACTCGACTATTAGCACATTCAGACTACAAGCATAAGGTGTTAAAGGAAAATGAAATTTGGTTGATTTTGTGTCCTTAACGCAGAGGAAAGAACTAATTGATTAATTCACACTGAGTTTTTTTGCCAAAAACACTCATAGATTTGAACAAATTCCGCAAAAATGTAAGATGACGGATAAATTTTGATCAACGATTTATCGTGTTTCAAATAATCTTAAAATATTTGCATAATTTCACAGCATTCGGTTTCTGCAGTTTCAAAGTTAAATTGTAAAATATTGGTATACAGTATTGACTTTTTCCAAAAATCTGGATGCTAAGGGTAAAAACTCAACACGGATTCATAAATCACACATGCAGGAATGTTTATTATAAAATAAATTCAAAAAACATTTGCTCCGCAGAATTCTAAAGTGATGTCATAATTTTCTGAGAAGGTCTTAAACAAATAAATTGTTTTACCTGTCCTTTTTTACAACCTTAAAACGTTTGCCACATTTTTAAAGTTAAATTTTAAAATACAATTTGGAATTATGATTAACTAAGCTTACAAGTTTTCGGAGCATTCGATTATTTCAAAGGTAAATTATTGTAAAATGTTGTTCTACAATTTTTATTTTTTCCCGAAAAGTCTGGATGTCTATGGTGAAAACTCGACACGGATTCATGAATCACACGTGCAGGGATACGCAATCCTATAAAAATAATATATATATAGTACCAAAAAAAGGAACAATTTAGTAGGAAGTAAAATGGTACTTTTCACCCCACATTTTATTCTCGTTTTTTAATTTATTAAAAGGTGCTTTATTATTTTTTTTTTTTTTAAGAAAACAGACCAATTTTGAGGTTTAGGTTTAGGTTTAGGTTTAGGTCTATATAAATCCGCTGGAATCTGGCCAAAATCTTTAGAATGAAACAACTTTTTAAAAAGTAATCTTAAAAATGGGTTGAATTGTCAAAAAAGGCAAGAAATAAAAAACTTCAACGTCAAAATTGGTGTCTGTTTGCTTAAAAAAATGTTACAGTACCTTAAAATGGATGAAAAAACATGTAAAAAATAGCTTAATTAGATGAAAAACAAATAATGTGAGGTCAAACGTACCATTTTAGTTAATACTGATTTCAATTTAGAAATTTTATTTGGAATTGAAATAACAAAAAATGGTTTCGCGTTCACCAAAATGTGTATTTGGTAAATATAAATTAAAGAACACAAAACTGTAAAATATATTGTTTTAGAGGGGCATAAACGAAAAAGAATCGGTTTTGCAGTTTCAAAGTTCAATTGCAAGATGTTGCAATTTTGATTTTTTATCAAATATCCAGATGTCTAGGAAAAAACTCAACAGGGATTGATAAACCACATGTACAGGAGTATTATATTTTATTAAATTTTAATAATATTTACACTGTAAATTTTGGAGATGACGTCAACAAATTGTTATTAGGGATGATTAGCCAATTTTTGATTAAGGTTTTACCATATACACGATATCCGTAATAAACATAAAATTTAACAATTGGTTCGGTAGTTTCAGAGATATCTGTCTAAAAAAATCCGGACAGACGGCAGACAGACAGACAGAAACGGGAGACCTATTGTTTCGTACTGGGTTTACGGCCTGTAATTGTAATTTAATGATCTATCAAAATCCGTTATAAAAATTTACATTGTTGTTTAAAAAATATAGATTATACGCAGCGAAATCGTCTTCTACGCGTCATATTTGTAATGTAGTGAATTAAGTTTCCCCCTTCAAGCTAAAAACAATGACGTTTACATAAATTTTTTACAGTATTTTGAGTATATACGACCACGAAATTTTAACTGGGACACCTATAAGCAACGTATTAAATTGACTGTTTGTTCCCAAAAAAACACAATGTATACGGAATTTCAAAGACTTGTCTCAGAACAAATCCCTATGGAACTTGATGTAAGACTTTCTGTGTATACAGTTAAAAAAAGGTATTGAAAACGTAAACAATATCCCGGGGTGAAATTTTCAATAAGGTTTTATTTAATAATAATGTTTTGACATGGTAGATATCGTCAACTTTCCCGAAAGAATTGTTAGTTAAAGTAGACTTTAATCGATTGTTCTGGAATCACTATATTAATGCAAAATTTTAAAAGAAAATTAAGTAAATTTTAGAATCTGTAAATGAAACAAACAATTACTTATACATATTTTATTTTGCAAATCGAGTTTAAAAAACTGAGATTTGTTTGTGATAAATCCCGATAATTTAACAAATAATTATTTTTACGTTTGGGCAGAACACACTCAATAATAAAAAAGAATAACAGCAGACATTAAGACTTTCTGTCAACAACTATTTTTAAAAATTATTTAGATCGTGGAAACGGTTCTTCTGTCAATTTCCTTAGTTTTACGAAATAAGCCATCTCGTTTCTTTTTAAAATTAATCTCCACTACAGAGAAATTTCTATAAAACTGTTCAATTTTTAGATCACGTTTCGAAAGGCCGCTTTGATTGTTTCAAATGCACACCTACGCATCCACATTTGTATTGTGGAATAGAATCACACTGATACACGTTCAGCATAAGAAAAACACTTTCAGAATCAGAATGAGGTCCCGAATAACGTCGCAGTACATACAAGCTTATATGATTTTCTCATTTATAAAGAAATTGTAGTTTAATCTTAGAATAATTTTAACTGTTCGTAATTTATAACTTATCTACACCTTTAAAATAAGGTATGTAAACATATACCAGGTAATAAATCTACTTACATGGACAAATTTGATTTATAATTTTTTTTTTGGTGTTTTATGTTGAAACACGTATATTTAATGGCAATTTATTTAACTTAGTAGCTTCTTGTTATGAAGATTTATGTATATAATTAGTAAGCGGTGGTAATAGACGTATGTATGTGAAACGTATTATGCAAAATTATAATTGCAACCTTTGTTTCAAATTCAGTTGACACACAACTTACCACAATAAGAGTAGTAAATATAATTTCATATACAAAGGCCATTGTTAATGAAAACGGCTATGTACCACATATCCAGCTATCACAAAATACAAGAAAAAATGTATTGCCTACCACATAAGTAACGTCATTTTTTAGTTACGTTGGTGATAATACGTATTTCATAATATACTCCCCACAAAAATTATCGCATCACGCTCAAAATTTTATATATTTCCAATTTGAATAAAATATTAATTAAAAACAATGCTTTAATTGTGATAATTTAAAAAATTATGCCATGCGGTAGAATAGTACTTTGTACTACTATTATGTTTAACTGTAATATTTACCTTCATAT